AAAAAAACAATTACTTCGGGAAGATGTTTCCATCTTGACACTTCATTTATTGCCAGAAAACAAGATCTGCAAAGTATCAAATTTCTTTGAATTTTCAAGTTTCCGAAATGTGCCTTGTACGTTAGTAATTTTAGTAGCGCATAACGAAGTTGGTTCCTCCGTTGTTAAATAACTCCATATAAATGTGAATATTTTCGAAATTAATTGTAGTAGTTTTCGGTTACTTTATCGGTAGTAAATATTATCAGGCAAAATAGATTAATATAAATTTTGATTTACCGACCGATAAGCTGCTTTTAAGATTTCCCGTAAGGGAACACCAACTCAATCCGGATTGGGAGTTAAGGCGTGGCGAACTGAACAGAGCAAGGACGAACTGACTTCCGTTTCTCAATTCGACTGAACGACTTCAGTGTGGAGTTCCTATTGAGTCGTCAGATTAGCACTGACGGCGTGCAAGGCAACGATCTATTTGTCACGTGTTACAAGGTACGTCGCAAAGCTTACCGCGTGACGCGAACGTGCATAAATTACGCGCATCGTGTGTGTCTCATAAGCTTCCGAGATGTGCACCGGAATTAGCAACCAATTGTATCTTCGATATTTCAAAAATACAGGATGGAGAAATCTGTATCGTACCAAACTTTAGACGTACTCGTATTTATTTACGATAAGTAATTTAGCAAGCTTGTAACAACATTTGCAGAATAAATTTACACAATAACCATAACTTTTGAAGAAATATGAAACTCTACTGTATGAAGATGTCAGTACATATCGAAAAAGTGACTTATGTCTCTTATAACTGGTTCCCGAATTTTATGCATTTTTAGCATACACGATTGTGTAAAAGTTGATACAGTAAAATATGTAACAGAATCTAATACCATTTTTACTTCCTCGCATCTTGATAAAACCGCCCATAAAATGCATAATATTCTGTTCAATTTCAGTTTCTGTAACCTAAACTGATAGAAATCTGTATTTACGTAAGCATACTCAATCTACTTATAATACACTGAACATTTTAAAATGACACATAAGTCAAAGACGAATGAATATGCAAGGTGTCACCGAATCTGGTGATTGCATTATGATATCACCTGACTATACACAAAAAAAAAATAGATAAAAACTGTAGAATGTAATTTATTTACATAAGACTTCGTTTTGAGTAAATCGATGATGAAAATTTATTATGTACGCATGCACTTGAAGACGACTTAACATATATGTCTGCCCATTTATAGGTATTTCTACTTCCATTTATGTTCGTAGAGATTATGTGTACTGTAGGATTATTTATTTTCTACAACTTAATGAAAACGATCGTTGAGAACAAGTAAGTCACAGGCAAACATAGTATCAATCGCATACGAAGACACACGTGGTCAAGAAATTTTCAAAATTGATTCTTCAAAAAACGTAGCCTTGAATCAAAACATGTTACACTACACTCGGTATTTATTTTTTATAGAAAAACACCGCCTATGATTTATACCGTTACTTTAGTGACACCTTGTCTGCGTTATACTAGTAAAGTAGAATTGTAAGCTTTTGTTATTCAGTTACACGAACAGCAGAAACTATTTCGAACCACTGACTATGAACTATCCCTACAAGTCAATTAACATTCGACAGAAGATCTGTATTGCTCAGAATATTAATGAAATTTTACCATCTGAATTTTTAAGAAACTCATCTGTAATATTGTAAGATGACCTATAGGTTGTTTAAATAAATTAATTGGATGTTTGGTAGCATTACAAATTAACGGTTAAAAAAGATATGAAGTCACCATCATGCTGTCTGAAATCACCTTGGAAAGTTGTTTCGATCACAGTACAATGAGTACGTCGAAGCAAAGAAAGAATAGTCCGAACTCTATGAACAGATCAAGTTCCCGGTTAAAGTCGAAACGGCACGTCCGAAAAGACGGGAATTTCCTTCCGGTCGTGATTTTTCCGTGAGTGTAGCACATGTCTCAGGATCACGTTAGGAAAGTGATTTTCCTCCACTCACGAACTACTTGCTATTTAGAACGCGTTTCGGACCGAACTGGAAACGGTACGTACGTGCTCGAAAATCAGACCTTCGTCGAAACAGCTGACACTCGATCCATTTTCTCTTCTTTCCTATTCCAGTGTCCGTTTCCGTCCCCTCTGTCGTTTAGACCTCTATCGGTCTTTTACCCCATCGACGGGGAGACTTCAGAAAGCGATTATTTTCTTCGATGCATGCTATTTATCCCCAAAATTACACTTTTCATCCTCGATTCGGATCAATTAAGTTCTCTCTGACCCTGTTATTTCTGTCTTCACCCTTTTATGTTTAGACTTTAAAGCATAACTTCTTAAGATTGTTAAAAGATTTCGATTATTTCAACCAACATTTTAGCATCCTATTTCGATCTTATAGGAGTTATTATACGCCACTGATCAAAGCTTTGCGTTTATAAACATTTCTGTGGTTATTTCATTCTTTGTCTGTTCCAGCATGAAATAGAAATAGAATGGAATTTATAGTAACGTAGTCAATACGATAGGTGATTGTTCTTTTCACCTTACCCTGTCAATCGTTTTCTTGAGAATCATGACGTGTAACAAAATTGCTTCGAAGGAAGTGACCGATAATCTTCGTTGTCTAAAGAATCATATCGAATCGTTTCTCTTCTTCATTATATATGTTGCTGTTAACCAGAAAGCGCCATGCCACAAGGGAAAAGCGACAGTTTATTTCGAGCAACGTACGAAATGGAGTCCGACTCTTCGTTTCTTCGCCATCATCGGTGTAAGTTTATCATTTGCACGAGTGATGACGCAGTAATGGAAATTCAAACACGTACAAGGTATTTTCCAGCCAGTGAACAGATACGCGGAAGAGTTTGTGATGCTTCTTTTGGATTTAATGTCATCAATAAAACTAACCCACGAAGCTGGAAGTAATTCCTTTTCAACAGGAGAATCGATTCTTCGAAAGCTCGAGTCGTTATCTGGCCTTGCTTACAGGTATGGCCAAAGCACGTACTGGAAGAACATCGTCCTCTTCTTGCCACGGACGGGGTCCGTAGCGTCTCTTTATCCGTTTCCAGTTCGCTTGCGATCCACGATGCACTCTCCGATGCAGCGCATAGAGAACAGTGACAGTTCCTTTCGACGCTGGCGCGCCTCCCGACATTTCTTGGGCCAACGATAAAACCGAGAACGCGAAAGAAGAATGGGACTATCTGTTTTCCCGTCGGTGGTCTCGGAACGAGACAAAATAGCGTGTTTAATAACAGCGAACGTGTATTCAGGAAAATCGATATTTCGGAATTGGAGAAATCTCTGCTCCATTATTCCCAAACTCAATGATTTATTTGTAGTAATTGTTTGCTATGAATGTTTTTTTTTTTTTCGTAACTTTTAGTAATTAACTATTTTTGTTTTTAAGATAACAATATCAGGGAGATATGGTATATCAGAAACGGAAAACTTATGGCATCAGCTGCGGAGGTTTTAGGCCTTTTACGCTCTAATTCTATCACTTCCCCAACTGGGTTTATGTTAATTGGCACGTTAATAAGTGCGAGAATCCATAGAAACGGTATATGGTGGGGTGGTTGACATATTCTTGACCAGCGCTGAGGTAGACATTGGTAGTATCTTCTTTAAAGACCAATCATTTAAGAGCGATAAAATCAACATTGAATAAATATCTAAGTTCGAAAGGTCAATTACAAAATGTCCGTTGAAACAAGGTGTCGCATTTCCACGAATTCCTCCAGAGTAGTCACTCTACAGAAACAGATCTGCGATTACCGACTACCAGTTTCTTGCCTCCTTTACATACTACTTTCGGGATACTTCATTCCGAGCTCGTTTAATGGTTACATAAGCAATGAAGGAACCAAACGTCTCGAACCGTTTTGCAACCAATGCGATCGTCTGGTATCGACTTTACGTATTTTATATTTAATCTCCACGAAGGGAACAGTAACTGCCGATAGTACATCAAATAAAATGGAAGATTCACTTTATAACTTCACATTCAGACATCTTTATTCAGCTGTCTCTAACTAATCGAAAGGTCTTTCGAGTTCGAAGTAAGAATGAATTCTCCCTGCGTTTCCTTCAGCCCCGCTGCTTTCTTTCATTCTCCCTTTTGTAAATCCGTTTCATACCTGTTAAGCTTTCCCACTTTTCGCCTCTCTGTACGATTTCAAGAAACGTGTCTTCCTTCTTCGATTTCGTTTTCTATACCAGACACTTTGCTACGTTGTTCGGGCGTTTGCTCGATATAGAACAGAACCTTCGTTATAAAAAGGCCACCATTCTTGCCGACATGAAACAGTCATTGTAGCGATACCAGCTTCGTTTACAGACTCTGCAAGGCATGGAAGAATTACATGATTGTCGACTTGTGTGCACGTGGACGCTACTTTCCAAACACCAGTATCTTTTCCTCGATGAATCCTCGATTCTCGTAATCACGCCATCGAAATGTTTAAAAATATTGTAGTCTATAGCCAGAAAATGAAATTGTAATAATTAAATATAAAATAAAAACAATAGATTTTTTCTCCGTGAATTTTTCTCTCCTTCCTTTGGCCACTGGTAGTTTCTTAAGTAGTTTAGTTCAATAATTCGTTTGGTTTAGAATATAATGCATCTGTGTTTCTTTAGGGAAAAACAAACAAATTTTCTTTCCATGGAACTGGTGGAAAGGAAAAATCGGACGTCGACGAGGTCCAAAACTAGATTTCACGACGGGAATCCTTCACTTTTTCAGTTCAACATCTCTAGTCAACTGGAATCAGAGAATCTCAACGAATTTCTTCAGTTTCTGGAATATTCAGATTCTACGCCATTCTATGCTATTTGAAGAAACGGATGACTCAGCTTTTCATAATAACCCACGTTCCTCCGAGAGAAGGGTACAAATAGAAAATGCATAACGGGCAGAAGATCTCTTTTTTCCTGGTAACAGATGCTTTAAATATTCATTTTTATTTTGGTCGTGCTATTTGCCATATGCAGATTAACCTTTGTGTACCTGTCTATCAAGACATAAAGATTTCCTTCCGGAACATGCCTTTTCAAATGGAAAAATAATCCAAGACTTTCACACTCTTGCTGACATTACTATAGTTCACAAGAGAGCTAACAGTAAGACACTTCGTAGACACGAATTCGAAAGTTATTCATTTGAGGTGTCTGCAGAATTTAATTCCTATTACCTTCGATTCCTTTCGATCGTCATTCACGGCACCTTATGACGATTTTCTGTTATATATCAGTCTACGTTTCCCAGATACTACTATTCCGATGTTCTCTTCTCTCCTTTCTATAATATATTCTTTAGTATTTGTATTCTATAAAAGAATACTCGATTGGTGTATTTGGTAAATAAAAGCTCAATATAAACAGGTACAGCATGTCTCAGACGTCTAAGACGTTTCAACTGCCGCCCACAGTTTCAGGGTCGTAATTCCTTCGCTCATCTCCCACTTATCCTCCCTTAATGACGAAATATTTTGTCGGTCCAAACATCGGACCGCAATTCAGATGATGACTGGCTGCAAATCAACGAAGATCTCAACAGACACGCGTCTTCCGATTACCTGGTTAAGCTCGTCACGGTGTCTGAGAGCACGTTCTCCTCTTTGTTCTCCTCGCACAACTCAAGCTTCGTGTCAAAGAGAAACATTCTCCGCACGAATACAGCGCGCAAGGTACAAACTTTCGTCTCTCCCCGCGCAGTGTCGTTGCTTTGATCGTCCCTTGCTTGGTGTAGCTTGCTCCCTTGACTTTCCTTCGTCTCCTCTTCTCCTCCTCCGTTCCTCTCGATACACTTAGCTCGTGTGTGTGCGTGCCCTTTTTTCTTTCCTTGGTTTATCATCAAAAATAAAGAAACAAATATTCTGGTGAATATGATGGGGAACGAACGAACGGAGGGCCTCTGGTTCCAGCACGGCGCTCGTGGTGCACGGAAATCGTCTCCTTTTTCCGGTTACGAGTGGCGCTGGACCACTTACGTAAAGTACCTCGCGAGCAGAACCAACGCCACCGGTACCATTGCCACTACTCTAGAGATGCTGGCACCACTGCCGATCGCGCACGTCTCATCCGTATATGACTCGCAGTACATCTGAAATCAAGCCATACCACGATCCGATTAAATATGTTATGGACCGTACAATTAACCATTCTAGCAATCCCTGACCATACTATTTTGATAACGAATATTTAAATTGAGAAAATTTATGGTATTTGATAATAGGCACTCCAGAAAATTCTATCGAGGAAATTGTAGAATTGGCCTCGTAGTTAATTAAAAATAGACGGCACTGTATGTGGAAAATTTATGAATACTTGAAACTGGACTAACAGGAAAATGATACAGTCACGGTTACAGAAATATATGACTACTCTCGAAGCAGTATTTTTTCACTCACTTCTTACTTCGAAGGTACCTACTAAAAATTTCAAAATAACGCAGACATTTAAAGATATCAGATACCACTACCAGATGTTGGATACCAAATTGTTGTTAAAACGATGCCAAAACTTAATTAATAGTGTTTAGATAATAAAAATATCGGACAAATAAATTCGGACACAGACGTTTTTCTCTTCGTTTGTTGTTACGGTGATGTTACAAAAATTCTGTTCTCCGGAGTGTTTACTATTTTAATCCGACGCTGGTCGGGCGTTTCATTTATATTTATCCATTCTAGGATGGTGACAGCAAAATTTTGTCATAAATTTTTAAAACAAAAAAATTATGAACAGCTTAAATGTGACGTCAATGGTCACCGTTTCTTGGCATGTAGCCATTCCGAAATTAAACGGTATATACAATTAGTAAAAAAGATTTGTGTTCGTCTAAGGTAATTTTCGAAATGGCAATTTCCTACCGTTACAACTTATTAACTTCACGGTTAAAGTGTAACAACACACTCGTGACTAATAGTAGCTGCGTATAACTTCTAAACAAAATTATTAATTCTAATATTACATGACAGTTCGTATCTCATAACGGTAATGACAGTTTCTCCCTAATAAGGAAGTCTCAAATATTTACCCTTAACATCGAACTCGACATTCTGGCATGTAACTGCTTTGTAAACTGAGCTGCTTCATCGCCACATTGTCGACGAACCGAATGTTGCGAGCAATCCAAATACTCCCTGAAGCCACTGAAACAGAAATACCCAACAGCTATCGTCAGTGCGTTCGATTATCGAACATGTTTCCTGTGTGTGTGTGTAGTTTACTTGACATTTAGTGATAAATTTAAATCACCAACGAATTTCTGTTACAAAATAAAAACATATTTACTAATAATTTTTATCTATCTGTAATGTTCACCTACGTATGCATGTACGGGGTGTTTGAAAATTATATGTCACGATTACCATAGCGTTATTCTACACCTCTGGATCGATGGAAGTCTGCAAAAGAAAGTCAACGCAAAATTGACGTTGACCTTGAAATTGAAAGTCATCGTTTTTTACTATTCTGTCGTATTCTACTCATCAGTGGGATAACAAATCTGAATGGAACCATGGGTCACGACTCAACCATTCTCTTGGAAAATTACGTTAAATTAGCATTCGGTCAAATGCAAGGTAAATAGCATCTATTGTCGCACGTAGATACCCCAGATACAGCATTATACAGGGTATTTCACGTAACTTGACCACCTTAAATATATCGCTTATTTTGTATGATAGAAAAAATATCAGGGGAGAAAAATATTCTGTTCGAAGGCGCCAATACGGTCATGGGCCGAATTTTTTTCTCAAGGTCATTTTTTTTTTTTCGAGATTTCAAGGTCATCGAATTTTTTTTAATGGGACTACATCTTTTCACTACAATACTCTTATAGCATATAAAAACAAAAATCCAACGAGGTACAATATGTTGACCTTCGCGTGACCTTTAGCAAAAAAATCATGAAATGTTTGTCAGTAAGCTCAGTACGCGTTCCAGGACGGTAAATGAAGGCGTAAAAAAATTATAGGTGTATTTGCAAAAAATTGAAGGTGGCCTTGAAAAATCATGAAAAAAAAAGGAGTTGACAAAAAATTTGCTATAATCACGTTAAAGCTCTCTTGAAACCATGCTATACCTGATAAAAACATTTTCGATCGGACTGCTAATAACAGAGTAAGCTCTACTGATCACGATTCGTATTATTCACCTTGTATAATGGTGTATCTGGGGTATCTACGTGCGACAACAGATGCTATTGACCTTGCATTTGATTGAAATAGGCAAGCACATTGCAAATAAACTGAATCCGTATGTCAATGAAACTTTAACATAATTTTGCAAGAGAACGGTTGGGTTGCAACCCATGGTTCGTTCAGATTTTTTATCGTCATGACGAATAGAATACGACACAATAATAAAAAAACTGTGACTATGAATTTCAAGGTCAAGGTCAATTTAGCGGTGACTTTTTGTTGCAAATCTCCACTGATACAAAGGTATAGAATAACGCTATGGTAGCCGTGACAGATCATTTTTAAACACCTAGTACAAGATCTGAGGAACATGAATGTTCCTAACGCATTGTATGCGGACTATCTTGCGTGTTTCACCTGGCATGGCGCGGATCATTTTTTGCGACTTGGCTGCTCCAGTCAAGGATTTCAAGAAGTCGCTCTAATTACTAATTTACTGTGAATTTTTATTTAATCTTTTTTTACTGTGCCCTCGTTATCTTACTCTCAAAATACACTGATTAGAAATACTAGATATTTTTTTAAGGGTACAATAATAAACACTAAATGTTAAATTGTTTAGTTCACAAAACGGTTTAAAAGGTTATTATTATTATTATTTTTTGTCCAAAACAATATATTTAAAACTTTAATATTATTATATGATATGGTACTGCTCAATTTGAATGATATATGAAACACGTAGTAGTACGTCTTCCGCAGACTATCAACAGTGTACGAAAAACATAATAATACATGTCCCGTATACAATGTGTTAATTGTAAGGAATACGATAGAATAACGTCTCATTAAATGCAGATGAAAATATGCTGGTATGGGTTTTAATTAACATTATTTGTTCGACTTCGTTCGTATTCTGCAAAAGTGTTTCATTTCAGCAAAGTATCCACGCTGGAAATTGTTTTTAAAGAAGCTGTATAAAATCTCCCGTTACGTAACAGATATTAATTAAAAGCACAATACGATATTTTTATCTCTCTCTTTTATAATTGTGGCTATTGCAAGAGTTTCTCGAACATAATGATCGGACCGAATAGGTTACATAGCCTGGTTTTCCTACTAAAGTCTGAAACTGAAATAAACTTCTTCGCGAAGGATAGAAAGTAGACTGATTTGAAGATGGATTTGCACGCTGTCGGTATAATATATATCAGATGTCCGCGGTGCTATAAATCGATGTCACAATGAGACGCACGTAATTCCGCCTTCTCTCGGAATAAAACCTTCCATCAGCGTTCTCGAATACCAGGCATCCGTCATTTATCAAACAGTAACAGATTGAACGGAGTAGATTTTTTCATTTCACGGTGGAGTTATATAAAAAGTAAATGTTCATGAACAATAATTCATAGATTTATATGATAGTAAAATACTTTCATGTGTAAAAGTTCAAAACAATTGCATCCTCGTAACGTCGACAGTGTTCAATAAATTAAACAAAAATGTTTAGCAAACATGAGGCAAAATACCAACTGGTTTAAAATTACAAGCAATTTTCTGCTTGACAATACAAATTTTTTTCGATGCGCTCACCATTTCAGGATGAAAGTGAATAAGTATTGTAAGATAATCTTACTGTATGTCTCTTGTTATACATATATCATAATATTGACGATTAAGGAATATTTATAGTTTTACAATTCCGTAATTCTACCACGTATACAACTAATTCTCATTTTCTATCAAGCAGCGCTGAACATATTTCGTTTATAAATTAAATATGAATATAATATGTATGATTCATAAAATTCTTATGTTTTGAGGAAGCATCTTTGTTTACACGCTGGTTGGGACGTTTCTATAATAAATTCCGTTTTCACTACGACAGAAATAGATGTTTTGTTGTAGGGCATCCTGTATTACACCCACAAGAATTAAATAATTTGAAACAGAAACGTTTGACATGCAGATTCCTACAGAGTATTCGAAAAAAGGTGAGAAATATTAAAAGTCATGTCAACTAGCCCATAAACAAAATTTCAAGTTCTGTTGGTTATCTAGTAGGTAATATAACGTTGCTTTATTGCTTGTTACAAAGTTGCTTAGTTTCCGATTGGACAGTATCTAATAGAAGAATCATGGAGCAAAATAAAAGAAGAACGGTTGAAAAAAGGTTTATAGTCCACGAGTTAAAATTTCAGGAGAAAACATAGCCGATCGTAAACAATGATATCAAAGATCGATATGTGTAGAGGAAGAAAAAGCGATGAAAAATGGAAGAATAATATTCGATGTGTGTTATAGCCGTGCTGCAGGGGAGCGTGCAGGACTATATTTCTCAGTGTGTGCTTTTTTTTCACAGAGTCGTGTAAACACAAAACAGGGGAGGTGGGCTTTTCACGCTGATGGTTATACAGAGAGCGTAATGACATTAGCTTATCTCCGTCACGGTGTATTGCAGCTTTTGAAATTGTGCATCACCCGGTAGAAAAAAAAAATTGCTACCAGGGAAAATCAAATATAGATCGAGATAGAAAAAAGAGGAACTATATCGGAGAGATAGAAGAGTAATTTATTAAACAAAAAAAAAGGAACACAACGCGAAGAAAGAAAAAATACAGTACAAGAGGTTGAAAAAATGAGAAACGAGTGGATAAATATCTCAAGGATAACAGGAAAGAAATAGAAAAATAGGGAATCAATTCAACCAAAAAATTCGCAATAGACAGCAGATCGCACGACACAGGGGAATCGGAAAATAGTGAAATGGGAAAAGGAAATCTGGAAAAAAGAAAAGAGACGAGGAAAAAGAGCTCGCATAGAGAGGATAGGGTGGAGAAGAGAAAGTGAGTAGAGCGAGAATGGCAATGGTTGAGCACACGAGAGGGAAAAAAAAGTTTCAAACACATTCACCGCGTATGAACACGCCATCGCTCCCTTAACACTCTTGTCGCGTAAATTCAATTACACCCTCTTCGTTGCGCATGCTCTTTTTACATTAAATTTTTGTGCACGTGCTATTACATTTAATGTTCTTAATGGAATAATTCGTTCAAAGGAATTGCTTTCAACCCGTAGCCGGTACATTTTCGATTCTTAACTCCCAACACGTTAAAAGTCCAACAGTCCGATTCCTATTATCCGGAATACTTTATACTGATTATTTCAAGCAGTTTAAACTTTCGTTAAATTTTACGTTTAAATTTGAGAGGCATGTGTGTATTTTACAATATATTACATATAATTAGTAAGAAAAAAGTACAGTAAGTAGGCATATACGTATCGATGAAGCATCCTTTAATGGAACTGAAATATCATAGGATATGTTTCAATTGTAATCGAAGTTTCTTGACAAATCTACGAAAAGGAAGCTATAGGAGTAATGAAAAATATTTTAGAAAATGTTAATATTCGTTCATTAATATGCTCACTCTAGTTATCAGATTTAAAAATACTTCACTTTTCCTGTTGCAAAAATGAAATCAGTTTTTACACTGCGAATAATATTCTCGGATAGGTTTTTAATTAAGTATAATAATCCCCCTTTTTCTGTAAATCCGCAGACTTACAAATAAAGCAAAGTGTTCTGGACAAATTATTTTTTTAATAGGAGTTCATTCGTTTTATTTTAATATTTTTATTTAATGACTTCAGGCTCGAAAATACAACAAAGAGGATATCTTTTGATTAAAGTTTTACCATGCACTTCTGTGAATCAACGAGTATCGATTATGGATTGTTTTATGCGTACGACAAACACTACGAAAAAGAACGACCGTTCGATGCACGAGGAAGGTTTGTACTCCTTGCTTACAGTTGTTAAATAATTATGTCCATGTTCTCTCTCTCTCTTTTTGTTTCGCGAAGCTTTTAATCGGCTTGACCAAGACGAAGTATCTATCAACTAACGTTACACACAGATACGACAAGAAAAGCACGGTGACTGCAACTTCTGAAGGTGCAACACAATGAAAACATCGTTATATCGCGGTAAGAACATTTCTAAATAAATGACTGTGCAGTAATATTCAAACAGGGAGGTGCTTCGAAAGTCTGGATGATGATTACAAAGTATCGATCTTCAATAAATGAATCCTTGGTACATTACGTATTAAAAAAAAATTAATTCGAAGGGGTTACTTAACCAAACATTTAATGCGATTATTGAGAACCTTTTAATCAAAGAAACTTACCGAATGTATAGGGTGTCTGTCAAAATAAAAAGAAATTAGTCTAATATTACAAAACCCCGCTTAAAAAAATTATTATTATCAAGACAACTTATATAGAGTATTTCGTGCCTGAAGACACCTCTGCTTGGGATTGCTCATACAAGTATAGACAGCTATTTTAGTGCTAGTAGTACTGTTGGGAGTACTTTATTGCTTTACACTGAATAATTTTTAATTAACAATTGTTCACTAAAAATGCACAAAAAATAAAACTTAACTTGTATAATTACAAAAAATACAGTTAAAGTCGTAAAATCGTCAACTTCTACAGGTGGCTCTAATAATAATTTGATAATTGAAATTATCAATTAAAACAATTAATTTCTTATTGAATTCTTATTGTTAACTGTTCTACGTAAGTAAACAATATAGTATCAGAGGAAAACATAGTTTCTAATAATTTCCCATATAAATTTAGTTTAGTTCATGGCAAAGTTAGGTTTTGAAGTCTTGCGATAGTCACAATATTCACCAGATATTTCCCCAATAAAAGATTACTTTTTGTGTTATCGGAAGCTCCTAGCAAGGGAACGTATTTTCTTGTCACACCGGTAAATGAAAAATCTTGTGTGTGTTCTATAGTCCACTTAGTTCTTATTAAAACTGAAAACCTGTAGGTGCCCCTTATTTTATTTAACCAAGATAATGGGCAATTAAAAATATTATATTAGGAATGTCAGAATTTCGATACACCAACTAGTGACGGAAAACAATGTTTAAATAGACAGGTTGAGAATTTTCAGTGTTTTTATATTTGTTGTGCTATGTAATGCTTTTAAATAAGTCGTATAATAGCAGTCATAATTATTTAAACAGTTATAAAAATGTACACTATGCAATTTTCTCCTAGAAAAAATAGAAATAAAATATACTGAAGTGTGTTCGGCTGTAACAGTCGTGCATGTAATAATAATACTGTTCTCTTTTACCATCTTCCACGGCAAAAGGAAACTTGGTGTAATTAAAAAATCAATTAAATCCAGAAAAATTAATGACCGTTTCAGTGCATGGGTGAAAGTTTTAAAAACGGGCAAAAATGTATCGTCGTCTATGAGAATATGCTCATTACACTTTACAATAGATGATTTTATCCCAACAAGTAAGTATTATTGTAATCATAAATAGAGTTGGACATAAAATTTATGATTTTTAGGAAGTCGTGTCGCAAATTTATCTGAATTATAAGTCATATCAATACTTCGTCCATGTTTTCACCACTAATTTCATGTGAATCATCTTTTAAATTTTTTGTCTGAAGATCTAAACGCAATGATTTCAATAACATCTTTTGTCATCTTCATTTAATCTTCCACAATTTAAAAGGTACCAACGATGAATTATATTTTTACCACCAATAAAATTTTTACTTTGGAATGTTGTACACACGAACTTACAAATTTCGTTTTTGGAAATTCTCATTGTTCTTCCAAATCAAATCAGAAACATCTGATTCAAATAATTTTAAAACTGTTTAAAGCTGCTGAGTATTTGTGGTGTTTGATCTGTAAGCAACTTATAAAGAAGGACCATGTATTTCATACACATTTCCCAGTATGTTATCCAATGGAAATTTTTTCCTCCATATTCAACGAAAATATAAAAAAACAAGTAACCAAGTTTTATACTATAATCAGAATTTTAACTAGCAATTAATACGTTTACAACGATAGTATTAAATGTTATAGTGTACCGTAACACCGTGAATCTGAACGCATCTATCGTGTTGTAAGGTCGATTGCGCGAAGTAACGATATTGAACGGTACACGTTATACAGGGTGTCAATAAATATTCACCAAGTTTCGTTTTCGAATTATTAAGTGTTGAAAATACGGGGGAAATTCGCGTGAAATACGGTTTGGCCTGATGCATCGCGATGAGTTATACTACTCGAACAGCTGATACCCAGTTGATACATGGGCTCGATCGATGACCTATTAGTGAAATAATGAATGAAATAAAATGAAATTATATGCAACCAACTCATGATACACTTGAGAGTGCTTCTCAAATAGAACAACCCGTTGCGTTAGACGTATTTAAAAAAAGGTAATAATAACTCGGAAAGGAAGTTCCAATTGACGGAAGATCCGAAGCTAACTGGATTTTACACTAAAAAAATTTCAGTATCTCGATATTTAACTATCAGAGCTGAGTATTCTTGTACAGCTAATGACGGGGAATGTCGTCAGTATTGTAATTACGTAAAAAGTTTTCGCCAAAAAGTAGAGCTAATTGGCTTTTGTACCAAGCCCTTCAATGGCACTATTATTCTATTTCATTCAAGTTGAGATGAGTCACTTGTATTTATTCCACCGAGCACGAGTATATTTGACAGAATTTTATACGAAGAAAATATTCCCATTATGACAAGAAAACCGTTTTAGGAAACAATGACTGTTGCTTACCAGCAGATGTAGTGATTCCAAGATCCGTCCACAATCGTGGCATTCCTTCTTTCAATTTCCTGGGTGATTCTCTCATACTTTTTGTTACAAAGATTGTGTCGTGGTGAATCATTTTGCATGCATTGCGCGTGTTTCAGGAACTCTGGAAAGAAAAGTAAAAACCGACTAATGAAATTTCTGGGTCGAGGACATAGCGCTTGAAAATATAAAATTACATTGTTTCGATTTATGAGTATTTGAGTAAATTTGACGATGATTTGAGAATATATTTTTGTCTATTACTGTCTAACAACCGTTTGCCCACGTATTACAGCCAAGGACAGATGTTGAAGTCAATTTTATTAAAACTATAAATTCTACTAAATTTCTTCATCTCTTCATAAGAATATTATAGATTGACCATTAAAAATTTTCATTCCATTAGGAACAGAACATATAACCCTATATTTCGTCTTATTTTCTTAATATAAACATTAATAATTCGTTGGTAATACATTCACAAGGGTAAAAATATAATAGAATTAAAACTGAATAGATTAATGAAACTCTTAAAAGGAACTATGTAAAAAAGTTTTTTTATCTATACGGTAAATACAGTTGCTTCGAATATTTTTAAGTCACATTTAAAAGCAATTGTATAATTGATTTGCGTTACTTAGTATAAAAACAAAAAAACTCTGAACATCCCGAAGATGATTAGTTAACTAAAGAAGTCAGAAATAACATGTTTTCCAAACGTTGTACATATTTTATGCCTGGACGAACCGCCCAAATGATATTATACTTCAATGATATTTGACAAATGCATCCAGTCACTCTTTATATTGTTTTTTGCGTTCAGAACTGATCGTTTCAGCGTAAACCTGTTACTAACTGAGACGCTCAAAAAATTAGTTGGGCAATTCCTGTTCCTACAAATTTCGTTAATTTATCATACTTCTATATTTACTGTTATAATTAGATAATGTACTACATAATTCTTATTTGTTCAAGATCATTCAAATGTAAAATATTATAAGTTCTTGTTACTTTTTAGTGCATGGACTGGGATCAGATTAATTTCAGAATGGGTCAATTTCACGGAATTCCGCGGTAGTTAATTCGTTCGTCGTTAAATGATAAAAGCTTCGATGATCATAACAACATATAACCAGAACCAATCTGGCGTCTAATTTTAAGCTAACATAAATCAACCACCATGCTCCGAGTCAATTATGCGATATGGAACCACGGAAACACGAAAGACTGTACCCCCATATATGTTCACACATCGATTTTCGATACACAGGTTTCGTTTCGGTGGGCAGCCCGGTTTACATTAAAAATCACAGAATTAGGCGTGCTACGATTACGGAGTGGTAGCGCGAATTTCGAACGCAGAAGCAACGAATAATCTTGGCCCGTTTGGTAGTGATAATAATCGTGGGTAGAGGGCTGATTACGACTTGCGTTGCCGGTATTGCTCTGAACACTAGGTTTACGGGCACTTATCGTGTAGGTATCTCCACGGCACGCATCAACGAACCCGCAGATTTTCTTTAAAACACAACTTATTTTATATAATACACAATTTATGATCTCTGAAATTAATGCATAGCTATAGAGATAGGTATAGCACATAGAGAATTTCGAGGTTAGAAAGCATTCGAAATGCGTCAAAATGACGCGTCCCGTAAACCTAGTGTTAACCAGGCGCTAATCGCGTAATCCATTTCGAGATAGTAGTGTGGATCGATCAGTGACGTGCCAGACGGACCAACACGACTCGATGACCACTCGACTGAATGCAATAACACACTCTGTTCTCCAGGGACTGAAACACTGTTGCACCGTATTTTAGTTCGTCCCACACAGCATGAATTTGCTGTATTGTCTTCTTTTATTTGGATTTGTACACGGTGTTCACGGAGTTACTAGCCAGCATTTTTATCGTAAAGGATCCTATATACATATATATATGTATACGGATGTTCCGTCGTAGACCAGGAACGACGGCTTATTTATTACAGTGAAACACTGATTATTGCCCCAACTAGTAGGAAGGCACATTCATATCGATAACCGGCTTTTGGATCATTTTTCCAGGAAAACCGAAGTTGCAAATATGTGTATGTTAGCGTTGATTCTTTTATCAAAGAAGATGCACGTGGTGTAGGCTTCTTGAGAAGAGATTGTATCGCCGATTGTCGGAACCTTAAATATGTATGTCGTCGATGTTTAAAATGTCAAAAATAAAAAAAATTAATCAAGATTAAAATAGACAAGTACAATACATATTATCATATTAAAGTACAGCGAGTAAGTATGAAAATGAGTCCCGAATATACGAATTCCCGTAACTGTTCCAGAATTTAGATGAATCTCAGTGTAATTGAGCAAATAAATGAACGTCACACGCAAGAATGCATTATTCAGTTTTCAGAAATGCGATGTCCTCGCGGCAAGGTTGAAACGTAGGAAATGAAGGGAACGAGCTGGAATGAAAATACGAAATTGCATAAAGAATAACAAATTCCGGTAAAAGTGACAAAGGGCATATTTTTCCACAATGAAACGATATGATTTTATCGTCCGACTAGTACGTCATAGCAAACGCATTTCGTACAATCATTAACAGACATATCTACATACATATGTACGTCTACAGGATTGTGCATAATCTGTGTGAAATCCATTCGCCATTCGAGTCAATAATGCAACTAGCACTTTAGAGAGATTAGACGCACACCATGGATTATTCCCAGAGTGGATTGTTAGTCTTCTTCTTTTATGTGTCACAGTTCTTAAATCGATAGCTTAAAAGCTACGAGCGGTCAACCTGCGTTATCAGTCTTTCTTGAAATATCAATGCGGTTAAAATAAATTCACGCACTGCGTCACCAATTGTTATTTTTATTATCAACTGTCTGAGTAGTAGTGGTAAACTACTGTTTACACTCACGACTTTATATTTCTGAGAAACTATGTATTCACGGCTACTCTGTACAGTTTCTTCAAAATGCATGTAACGCATTGTGTGATTCCCATGATAATGGTATTAGTTATTTGCGAAGAATAATGAGGAATGAATAAATAAATAAAATTGAAATTCCCCATATTCATTACTGTATCGTCATAAGAGTTTTAATACTGATTAATTGAATTTTGTTATGAAGTTTTTATGGCCAACAAAATTTAATTTAATTTAAAAATTTTAAGTTCTCAATTTTTAATTTAATTTAAAAAATTTAATTATTCGTCCTCTCATTAATTTTAATGATGCATAGCGCGGGATTTTTTTTATGTAATTATGTGTAGGTAATTGGTGACGGTATGTTAATCAAATCAAAAGTATACAAATTTTATTCTTTAATTATGGATAACTAACATATATTATGTTTGTAACTACATGCGGTATGTTTATACAGAATAATTATGTCATTAAATTTTCATTTCCATATTATAAAATAATCTGCATAAGCATTAAACTTATAACGAGAAAGAGTAGGTATAACTTACTAAATTTTGCATGAAAGTATAATTAAAATTTGTCGTCAATATACACTAAGTGTACTACATATATCTTTTATAATTACTCCCAAATTGAATATGGTACCTAACCCAAGTTGAATATGTACAACAATTCATTGAAAAGTGTAACTATGACAAAATGTATTACAAAAAAACGAAAGCTCTTTTTATAGCACTTTTCCGAAGCTTTTTTGGGCGCTTATAAGTCTGATGATTCGATTTCGTGCAATTTCTTATTTATATCTGTTTTATAAATTGTAACGAAAGATACTCTGCAATGAATCCTTTATCTAAAGCAGAACGAATTCCTACGATCTTCGTAATTTCGATAGAATTTGAAATATCGACGTTTAACGAACAGAGGTCAACCATAGGCTATTTCACTGAATGACGTATTCTGCACTCTCGATATTACCAGAACATCGTGGCTGTTTCCGTTTCTGGATCAGAATGGATTCAAGACGCTTCGAGTTCCGTAACTGGTAAACCGCAAATATCCGACTGTGAATTAGATTAATTATAGATTACGCGATTATTACATAAGGTGCTTCAACGTACGTGGTCTGACTTAAACGTAGATCATAATTAATCTTTTGCAAAAGAAAAGCATTATGTCTGAAGAAAATACTGTTTTTATTGATTTTCCATTAAAAATATTAATAGTTGAATGTATTTTATTATAAGCTACCTTGCTGACTGAGAACCTGATTTTCTAGTCTATAGGGATATCGCGATTATTGACTGATTGTGCATCCACGATTATTGTCCAGGCGTCATCCACAACAATGGCGGGGGGGGGGGCGTGGAACTGGGCAAGCGCATACTTTGTTGCCCCAGCGCGACGAGGCGGCTTCCTATTCACGAGCCGACGACTGAACGTTGGGAACCCACAAAAAGGTTACCTTCCCGTGTATCGGTGCGACGATACTAACACAACGATAAAACGTTTGTACAGCGGCATATGTCGCTTTAAGGGCATGGAAATTCTTCCACATTTTATAGCAAAAATGGAGGAGGTAGTAGGGGAGAGTTACCTATTTTGGAACACTTTTTTATTTTTCTCTCTTACACGAGCATAGAACATCAAGAAAGACAAGCATTATACGTAGATTGTATGGTGTATTGGTCGTTTTGAAACAATGTGTGATAAGAGTAATATCTTAAAAAAACTAAACTAACGACTTCGGTCCATTCCAGGCAACTGGTTTCCTAATTTGGACCAGTGGTTTCCTACACTGGACCGCTCCTAAAAACCAATAAAATTAAATCTACAATTTTAAAAAAACTGTTCAGGACATTGAAAAAAGTAGAAACAGTAAGAAAAAAGTATCGTACGGTGCACGTGGTGCATTAGTACGTTTTTTTAATGGGTTTCACATTTGAATCTGAAGAAAAAGAAAAATTTAACAGGAAAAAACCTTTTTAGTATACTTTGACCTATTCTTGAAGTATTTTTATACAGGATATAGATTGTATCCTAGAATACGCCAGTCCAATTTAGGCAACTAGCAGTGGTCCAATATTAGGCAACTTATAGGTTGCACCAGAAAAATATATTTTGAATTTACTTTAATGAAATTCACTTGAAATAGCACGAAAAATAATGATCACGCACCACGTAATTCTATATCT